TATTAGTACTATTATTAGTATCTTGATATGGAATTGAATTTAATTTGTCATTAACATCAATTTGCCAATTATTATCATTATTGCTAGAATTGTTAATAGATGATGGCGGTAAAGATTTTCTTGAAGTTGTTGGAACTTTAGGTGTTGCCATCATATTAGGGTTTATGATCATGGTTGGCGATGTTATATTTGTGGTAGTTGTAAGAATAGATGAAGCACGTTGATGATACTCGTTTACTGATGTAACAGGACTTACCGCACCAACTTCAGTGGTTTTTGAACCACCAAGGTCTTTTGATGCAGGCTTTTGATTTATTAAATTTTTTAAATAACTTGGATCAACAACATATTCACCCAAGAAAGTTTCTAATGCTGTTAATTTTTCTTCTAAATTTTCAATTTGTTTTTTTAAACAATCATTTTTGTCTTGATTATCATTATAATTGGTAGTGGGGGTGACTAATGGTAGAGTATTAAATGAATCTAAAAGTTTATGTTTTGTTGAAATGGACAAACAACAAAAATACTTTTGAATTATTCCCCAAGGTCTTATTACATCTTTACCAAACAAACACCCATAAATTGCTGATATAAGAATCCAAATTCCACCAATTAATCCTAATGACATTAAAACCTTATTTTTTCAAGAGAGATTAATTTCTTTGTCGAATAAAAAACCAATTGCCAAATATCATTAATAATGATGACAATGATGATTTGATACTACCTATTGTTACACAAACTTTATCTTCACAAAAAATGAATGATATTAATAATCATAACATTAATTATTGGTAGATAATTTAGAATATTTTTACTTTGACAGTTTTTCTCAAAAAAATAAAATCTTTTATATTTAATTAATTATAGAAAAAGGAACAGTAGTATTATATGTAGCATAATATGCAGTTCTGATTTGCAAGCTTGAAGATAGACAAAATGAATGTAAATGACAGTTGTCTTTTTTGATTTCAGAAAAGTTATCATCAATGTAGTCGAATTTAGAAAAAATTGCAGCAGAGAAAGGAAAGAGTTCTCGGTTTATAATATTCAATATATCATTTTACTCTGAACAAGTGTGCATCCTACTAAAAGTCACTGCCAGTTGTGAAAATTTATTATGAAAGATATAAAATTTTGAAATATAAATGACTTCAAGTCTTTTTCTAGTAAAACTTTTTAAGTTTTATATCATTCAAAAGCTCATCACATAAACTTTCTAATGAGGAGATCAAATTTTCTATAAAATTGTTAATGAGAAACAGACCTTCTATGTTACAAACATAAAGCATAGGAAATAAATTTTCATAACTGGTAGTGACTTTTGGTAGAAAGTGTACACGCATAAAGATTCTTCATGACCATTAATTAACCCATCAACATATAAAAAAAGAGCACAAATTATAATTTCCAATTTTCACAAGCCACAACTGCACAAAAGCTACTTTAATTTACCGGCAAATATTTTTAATACTCTGAAATTTTCACAAGAAAATTTTGTGCACTGCAATCCACCAATATTACTGTAATAATTTCATCATCAATCTGTAGTTCTTGTTGAGATTAAGATTGATACTTGGACCACAATCCAATTGCTTCTAAAGGTAGTTTTTATATTAAAGATCTTTCCTTCTTTCTGTATTATTTAAACCATGTCATTGATGTTGAATAAGATTGGTGCCTTCCTTACTATTATCTATTGAAGCAAATTGTAGCTGAGATTATGTCAGTGGGGAGACAATAAATTTTTAAATAACTTGATTGCCTTAGCTAAGGAAGAGATCAAAAGAGCATTATAAAACGATTATCCTCAGCAGTTAATTGTTTCACACATACAAATGGTCCACAGAGTACTAGTATTTCAAAATTATAGATAGATCAGATTGTTTTTTTGCTAAGTTATTCTTGATAAAAAATAAAGTAAATTAATATCTAAAGTCGCACACATTTGTTAACATTAAAACCTATACATGTATCACCAACATTCAGTTGTTTTAGAAATCTAATAAAATGGCAACTGAAATCCATGAGTTATGTGGAAGATGAAAGGAGTTGCTTCTTCTATTGTAAAAACCTCTATCAACAATAAACCAATCCTAGGAAAAGAACAATAGAAGCAATTCAGAAATAAGATGAGATATTAAACAATCTTATTGACAATGATGATAAAACAAAAAATTGCAAATTTAAATTTAAACAACTCATTAAAGCCCAAGTTGAGTTTGCTAAAATTTAATTATTATGCCCATAATTTTCAAACACAATAACTAAAAAACTTAATTCTGTAGTAAATTCTTACTTTTTGATAGCAATCATTTAAGTTATTATAAGGACATTTCTGAATGATCATGTTGGCTTGAATTTCCCCAATTCTGTTGACTCCTGTCAATTCAGAAAAAGTAGCTCTATTAGCAACAGGTGGAGGGTATCTGAATGCCTTTCCAGAAAATGAGCCAAAATAAGCATCCCATGCATCCATATCAACAACTCCAGAGAGCCAAGTGAGGTTTGCAGTATATCTTCCAGTAGTAAATAAAATAAAATAGTCATTTTCATCACCTGCTTTCTGATGCTCCTTTTTAAACATGTTATCATTCACATCTGACTTCACCAGCTTGCATTGGTGTATTTCAGTGCAGTAATAACTATTTGAATCAACTCTAATACCACAAAAAGAATCACCAGCAGGAGCATTGCAGTAATTAATAATACAATGTCTATGCTCAAGCACATCGATCTGCCCATTTTCACATTGCATCATTGAATCCTTTAAGGCATAGGAGTTTGTTTTACAGCTCTCTCTAATATTAATGACATATTACATATCTTCACATCACCATTAATGAGTACACAAAAATGTATTTTACTCATGTTAACCACTTCCTTGTTTCCATAACCATCACCTTTCCTTTGTTATTCCTTGTAATATGTAAATCATCATTTCCCAATATTGGATCTTCATTTGTGTGTGCCATTATTAAGGTTGTGGGTGAAACCTCCTTAGTAATTGCTGAAGCCATGGCAAAACTATTTAAATCTTATCAAAAATCCTGTTGAAATTATGCTGAAATGGCGAAACCTCAAAATGCAAAACTCTGCCAAACTCTAATAAACAATCAATGTGAAACCCTGCTGATTGATTTCTGGTGGAGTTTTGGCAAGCAACCTTAGCCATTATCCATAACCATACATAAGCACAGGTCAAAAACCTTGTGATCTTATGGTTTTTGAAACCACATTAATCCAAATTGGGTGTCATCATCAACTCTGAATTTGTCTATAACTGGAAAAGTCATTGTATTGTCCACAACTTGATGAGCCAGTATTATTATATGCAGAGCAAACATTAAAATTTGGGATCTGCAATAATCCACTTACTGTATCAATCCAGTAGCTTTTGTTTGCACATCACTAACAAGATCAGTAAAATTGACAACATCCAAATCCCTATAATGGACAAGCACATCTTGCAAGGTCTCTATTGCTGCCCATGGCCACCCATGTCATTAATCAGCATTTCAATAATAGGATAAGAAGGAAAGACTTGCACCAAGACATCATGTTGTCATTTATATGGAGCTGTCAAGTGTGCAGTAGGCAAGAAAATGCATATTTGGTGAGAAACTTCTCAACAGGACCAGTAATGATTGCTGCACAGCAAGCAATGACAAATGATCCTTTTCTCTGATGAGCTATGACTGATATACTGTCATACAGTTATTGAAAAATAAACTCTTATT